AAAATTCAAACTCAACTAGAGAGATAATTAAAAATTCAATTATAAAAAAAAACTAAAATCAAACTATTTAATAATTTGTATACTTTTTCTTTCACTTTTGTTTTCACTAAATAAGCAACTTTTTACAAACAACAATTAAATATTTATATACACACGTCAAATTTTAAAATTATATATAAAATAACGGTTAAATATAATATTTTATTTTTCCGACAGCAAGTCAAGAAAATGGTTTTCATTAGAACAATTATTTAGTTTTGGTTTTTCAAAGCCCAGCATTACTTTTTTTATTAATTAACACTATGTTGAGTCAACATTAGGATTATTTACAATATTCACTATTAAAATGAGCGAGGATGAATTTGATTGAAATTTATTTCATAATTTGCATTCGTTCTTATTATTTTTTATTAATGAATACTAAATTTAATCATTATTAAGGATTGTTTACAGTACATTCATAAGAACAAACATGATAATTTTGATTGACGACATTTCAGAAGTGTTTATTTTTGTTAGTAAGAATTAAAACACGTGTAAGAAAGTTTATACGAAGTCATTCATTCAATTAAGTTTTAATTTTGAGGACATAACAAGGATTATGTCAAATTCATCATCAAAACTCTTTTGTTTTTAATAGGAACCAACATTAGAATATAAATTTATCAAAATATTTAAAAAACAATTGCATGTAAGACTGCCCAAAGGTTTTTTATAGGCCTAAATAAGAACGAGATTTTTATTTAAAATATATTTTTTGAGTTTTTTTATTTAAAATTATATATTAAATTATCATAATTAATTTTATTTAATTTTTACATTATTATCTAATTTAAATTTGTATTCATTACTTATTTTATTAAAGATTTCGTCTTCATTATTCATCAAAAGATAACCTAGTTAATAGTTCTGTAATTCAATATTAAAAAAAATCAGTTTCTTATTATGTCAAAAAAAACTTTCAAAATTCATAAATAAAAAAATACTAAAAAATAAAATCAGACAATAAAACTTTTCTAATTCTAATACAAATTCAACAAATAAAATAAAAAAACAACAACATATAAATAAAAAATAGGATAGAAAAGTTGATATACACAAACAATATGAAATTTAAAAAATGAAATATATCCAAACTCTCGTCAAAAGAAAAATTTTAGAATAAAAGAAAATAATAAGAGATAAGAAATGAAATTAGTAGATGAGAAATATGAAAATAAAAATAACTAATTATTCTTTTTTTTTCTAAACAAAATTATGATTTATTAAAAAAAAATTAACTCATTAAATATCATTTTTAATACTAATAAAAATTAACAAATACTTATGACAATTTAATTAAATTTTATTTTCAAACATAAAATTATAATTAACTTAGTAAAGGTATATTAGTATTTGTTTTTATTTTATTTTCTTTTTCCTAAACATAATTTTATAATTAATTGAATAGAGTTATATTAATATTTAAATATTTTCTTAAATATTATTCTATAATCGATTTAAATATTAATACTAAAAAAAATTAAGACATTCTTTTAAAGCCTAAAACAAGTGCCTGTTATACTTTGAGCGGAGCCACCTTCCATGGAGTAATTAAACTCTAATTTTGTTTGTATTGGTTTGGAAAGCACCTTTGTAATGAGTAATTAGGATAACACGTGTGACTGAATGAAGGATCCTTCCCACATGACGCGTGTACATGAAATTTCGGAAGTGAAATTTCCTTGTCATTGAAGTTGAATTTGATGATGAATTGATGCGTAATTAGGTTGAAAAGACATGAACTATTAACTAATCAATTATTTAATTGTAATATAGAATAGTGATAACACCGGTAATCGTGGTACCCATTCAGTTCAAGCTTCCATCGATGCTGCCAAAGCAGGAAATACACTTTTCATGGCAACCTTGAAGGAATAAAACTCTGCAAAAAACTGCTTCAAAATTTTTCGTCATTTTCAATTCCTAATCAATAATACTGTTTTCTTTAAAAGCATATCCAAGGCTTGGTGCTGGGTAAGTTTGACAGGAATGCAAAATTTGAAATAATATATTCATTGATGATGTATAATTTAAGAGACTATTTTAATGCCTCATTAAAATATAATTCATGTTATTTTAATCATGGAAATTTGGCTGAAACTGAGGGAAGACAACCTTTTTCTAATATTTGTTTCTATAAATAGTCAAACATTCACACTCATCAAACCCTACCTACTCCAAAACAAGACTTTTCCTTTTACAGTGTGGGAAACTTGAATCGAAAAGATAATGCAGCAAGAGGATATGCAGTCACCATGGTCATTCTTTGAAGGCATGAACTCAACTTTTGAATCAGGTGTTGAGTCCTTGGGTTTCACTGTGTATGACCATGTTGCTGATTGTGGATCCTATGGCTTCACTGTGGATGACCATGTTGCCGATTATGGAGCCTATGGTTTTGCTGTGGATGGTGACCATGTTGATGACTGTGGACTCAATACACTGTTGAGCACTCTAGAGGATTCCACTTCTGAAATTTCCTCCATACCCTTTTCTTCATCCTCTTTATTTTTCTCCAATGATCATGTTCACACCCAATACCCAATCAATGAAGAAACCCTGCAACTTCCATCACTCATGGAATTTGATGATTTTGATTCCATTATGGATACTGAAATTGCTAGTATTCAAGGTCATGGATACATATGGGAGAGCGAAGGGAGCTTCTTCCCTCCACAGAATTTGTCAAGTGAGGTGGAAAATGCTTGGAGTCCTACCCCATCCGTGAGGTCAGAGTTGTCCACAAATCAAGCATCACCATTGACTTTACCTCACCAAAACATGGAAATTGAAAACCAAGTGAGTCTTCCACACTTGCTAGAGGCACACGGAGAGGCCTTGGAGCAAGGACAAAAATCACTGGCAGAAGTGATTTTGAGGTGCATGAGCCAGAAAGCTAGTCCACTAGGTGAGTCTCTAGAACGCCTTGTATTCTACTTGTCTCAGAGCATGACCAATCATGGAGACTATCTCAAAGGTGAGGCCTTCAAGAACTATGAGGCTGCTTTGAGGGCACTCTATCAAGGTCTCCCAGTTGGGAAAGTCGCTCACTTTGCAGCTGTTTCTGCAATTCTTGAAGCCATGCCACAAGACTGTAATAGTGTACACATAGTGGACTCTTGTGTTGGACATGGGTTTCAATGGGTTCCAATGATTGAGGCTATTGCACACATGAACAAAACAGTGAAACTGACATCGATTAAATGGGATGGTGATGGTGAGGGTCTTGAATGTTTTTCAACTCCATCAAATTTTGAGGAAACTAAAAGGCAGCTCTGTGAGTATGCCAAATCCTGTGGTTTGAAGTTGAAGGTAGAGGAGAAAGGAGTGAAGGAACTTGTTGCTGAGATTAAGAAAATGAACAAAAGGGGTGGGAGGGGTGAGTTTTTGGCCTTCAATTCGATGATTGATCTTCCACATATGGGAAGAGAAAGTAGCAGAAAACAAGCCTTAGAGTTTCTAAGGGTAGCTGAAGATCTGATCAACACCTCTGGCAATAGGGGGATTATAACTTTTGGGGATGGAAGTGCTTATGAGAAAGTGAAAAACAACTTGAATTTCAGGTCATTCTTTAAAGCACATTTGGAGCATTACCAAGCCTTGTTAGAAGCAATTGAATCACATTTCCCAACTCGTTTCTCAGAAGCAAGAATTGCCATGGAGCAACTGTTTTTGCAACCTTGTATTTCGTCTCTTGATTGGTTACAAACATGGGAGGAGATGCACAGTGGTGACCCTCTTGAGGCTGAGATTAGCTTTAAGGGTTGCCAATTGAGCAAAAATATTTTGATGGAAATCAGAGAAGTGTTGGGAGGAAGTGAAGGCTCGTATCAAGCAAGGATTGAAGGACAAAATCACAATGAACTGGTTTTGGAGTACAAAGGAACTCAACTGTTAAGATTTTCAACTTGGAAAAACTAAAGCCATAGTGTCTCATATCAGATTTTAGTAGTCATTATAATTTGATTTGTACAGATTCCTGTTTATATGTTGTACTCCAAGAATTATATACAGATGTTTATTCTTTTTTACACAATATATATACTTGCACTTTGATTAAACAGAGGGGATGAAAACAGTAACAGGATCAGAGATTTTGCTTCTGGATTATATTTGATATTTTGATAAAGGAATTGGGTTAATAATATTATATGTATGTATATTCTGGTTTGATAAATTAAAAACGTAAATGCCCCTGTTTTTAATAAAATGCAATGGATATGTTCTAAAGTTTCATTTTTAAATGTTTATACTTCAGATTTTCTGAAATATTGCCGGAGAAAGAGAAGACCTAAACTTGTGACAAATGATTTTATCTTTAACTGCAAGGATGCCTTAAAGTTTATAAGTATCATATAGAACCAACTTCTTATTATTTTATACAAGTTTAATTAATAATTTGTATGCTTAGCTAACGTAAATAATTGACAGCGACAGCTCTTTCAAATATAATGTTTAAATTAATTATTAAAATAATAATTTTACTAGATTATATATATATATATACATATATATATATATATATACATATATATATATATATATATATCACAATTCACAATGTAAATATATTATAACTAGATTCCTGTTTTATACTAACAAAATACTATTTAGCCTTCCAGCTCTGAAGTTTTTTTTAAGAAAAAAAGGGGCACAGGGGGTGAAATTAAACCAATAATCTATAACTCGTATAGGTGAAATTATATCATTTTAGCTATTAATTATATGTATAAGTATTTATTGTTATAATTAGTTATAATCGAAGTTAAATTTTGTTATGTTTACCATATTTTAAGATGATTAATTTATTTTACGCGATAAAAATAAATATTTACAGTTAAAGTATGTAAAATAAGTATTGTCATAAAGGAGTCGAAATTAAGGTTTTTTATTTTTCAAAAACGGTCTAATTGTCTTCTTTAAATTGAACATGATGATGAAAATGAGTGTGTTCTGTATTATGATTATCAATGTTAACTGGTATCAAGCATATGCAGCATTGATTACACAAGGTTGTGTGCTTTTTCTGAAGAGCTCTCAGCAAAATGTTCTTCTTCTAGCGCTTATAAAACTTATTTCCAAATGAAGGTTGCATTGCATGCAGCTGGAACAGGAGTGCCTCTGTAAGCCTCACAAACATATCGTGTAAAATTTTCATATACCTGAAGTAACACAAATGATAACAGTCTTCACTCTTTATTTATGAGTATCTTCAAAAAAATATGGAAAACTTACTACTCATATGTGTGTCAGTATGAATAGATATGCACAATATTTTCAAGTAGAGAAAAAAAAGAACAAACCTTTCCGATTGATTCATCGTTTACCATCACTAATGGTAGAGATTTGAGGGGTGCAGTTTCGTTAATATATTTTTTTCCAATCTGTATAACAGTTAAAGTTCTATGTTAAATATAAAACATACTCCATAATGTAGAAATTCAATTTATGAGGTTAATAACTTTTCATATAACTATGATACTATGTATAGATGGTTAAGAAGTAAATTTTAATTCTAACTTAATCTCACTAAATTGATGAGGTTTGCACTCACTTATATACTATAAATTGGTCTTATTTTTAGTCAACGTGAGACTTCAAACACATTTCTCACACACACACATATATATATATATATATATCTCAAACGTGAGATTAGATATTAATAGATAGTCTACATATGGAAGAACATGCTCAACAAACAAGTTGACTCTTATATCATGTTAAGAAGTAGACTTTAAACTAACTATGTTAATAAATTCACTACCATAGCAAAACAAAAAGGTCCTTGTTACTTATAGTTATATGAATGTAGAGTAAAATAACCTCTGTGCCATTTCTTCTGGTATAGCAGTTCAGAACAGGTTCCTTAGGCAAGTCCAATTGGCTGAAACAGTCTTTCCAATTCTTGTGCCTTCCCTCAATTGCCAGAAACTCAAAGCAGTAGATAAGAGCATAATGTTTGCTCTACACATAAAATGAAGGCAGATATCAGAGTTTTTGTATGAAAAAATTATGTTAACAACCTCTGAGGTCAGGTTGCTTAGTTCTATAAAGAACTGGGAAAGACACATCACTTACCACATCATTCCAAACATTGAGGGCACAAGTCTCCACTGAATTTAGCTCACATTCATCTGGTCCATTCTGCAGTTTATAATAGAAGATAATCATCAAATATACCACATTAGTCATCTCATTCACAAGCATTTCTCTCTTTTCTCCTCTTATCATTATCATGATTGTAAACCAAAATTACACACCCTTTTGTTAGAAATATGAATTCTCTTTTTCAAATATTCGCCACTGATATGGTTTGTGCATGTATCACACAACTCTTTAGATGGGGAAATTCAGCTAAAATGTTGATACGAACTCAATCACATTAAACCCTCTTTTCCCCAATTGAGCCATTGTACTGAAAAAATAAAAGATAAACCAAAGTCCTAGCAACTGGGAGGAATAAATACTGTACAATTTTAATGTTTTATTATTTATTTATTTATTTATGAGAAATGCATGACTTTACATTTTCAATCACCAAAACTCTGAAGCAATTGGCTAACTCCCTGAATTTTCTCAGACCCTTTAGCTTGCTAACCACCATAATTGCAGAAATTTTTGTAATACAATGCATGACATCAAATCAGCAAACTTTTATCACAAGAACAATCTTACACAGTCAAATTCTAATTCTTTCAAGCATAACAAAGATAACATATGAATAGAATAAAACCTGACATATTATAGATTGGTTGGTCTTATTAACATAAGCATTGGCCCAAGGTACTAGCTGGAGGTTGATAATGTTGATGAGATCGCTGTGGAAAATCTCCTCCAGATTCTTCACAATGAAAGTTGCACAAGGTTGGCTTAGGCTTGCATAGTAAACTGAAAGATTAACTTTCTGAGAAGCAAAGGGTGCAACTTCAGCACTACCACCATGTAAACCAGAAGCGTAATATGAAGCAGCATCAGATTTATTATTATTGATGAAAAGGAAAGGGACTAATCTCAGTACAGAGATGATGCCTAGTTTTGGAGAAACCATTTTTTTGGTTCAGGCTCTGCAAACCTCAGTGCAGTGTTTCTGTTTCTGCTGATGCTTCTGATTCACTCTAATAAATGTCATTCATGTATCATAAAAGCTAAATATATTTGTTCATTGATTCGTGTTAACCGAAAGTATCAGACATATCTTAATCACTCAAACAATGCTAGTGTTTAGTTTTCTCACAATATGAATATTTCGGTTAATAGTTAGTAATAAAATAACATACAAAATTTTTATGATGAATAAAATATAATCTATTGGGTTAAACAACTAAAATTAAAAAAATTTACTTTCAAAATAATGTTTTTAAAACGATTGAGAGAGAGTATTTATAGAAAAGGTAGCTAGTTATTGACTTAGGGTAGTATTAATGGTTATTTAGTAGTACATTGAGTTTCTTTGTTTGTGTATGGCTTTGAAACTAATTTTAAGTTGATTAAATAAAACTAATTTCAATTATATATATATATATATATATATATATATATATATATATAATAATTTGATATATAAATTACAAAACATATATATTAAAAAAATATATTACTTTTATTTTCTTAGAATGTAATTATTATTTTATAAAATAGATATGTTCATGAATTTAAGATTTAATTAGTTTAACTTGATTTAGGCAACAAGATAAAGACCGGTGAAAAATGGTTGAATTTAATTTTGGTAATTTTGTGTGTGTCTGATTTGATTTATTTTGTTTTTTTTTTTTCAATTTACTATATATTATGTTTATTTTTATTATCTTATCCCTAAACCTAAACATTAGAGGTTTTTTGTTGCCATATATTGATCAGTGAATTTTAATTTTTTTTTTGGCAGGCTAATAATCCTCTTATTTGTTTATTTCCCTAACTATTTGTGCAAGTACAAGATAAATTCAAATGTTAAAGGAAAAAAAACAATGATTTGTACTATGCGTGTTAGTTTTTAATTAAATGATTCACTATATAATTAAACGATTAATTTTACAAAAATAGGAAAACAAGTGTACAGCTATTTTAAAGTTGGCATAGTTGCTGTGAATGATTCCTTTGCCTACTTCCAACGCTCTGTCCTAACTCTTCTTCATCTTATCTTACCAACTCTTATGTTTTGCTTTTCACTTTATTTAAAAGAAAAATAATTAATATTCCAACTCAATTATATTGATATATCAGATATTGTCAATTTTAAAATTTAGAGTTTTTGTTGTGATTTCATTTTGAAAAAATATTATGAAAGATTAAGTATAACATATTTAAATTATCTTTATTTTTAACTTTTAAGAAATGTAAGATTATTATATATTAAAATAAATCTTAATATCATGTTTTAAAAAGAAGGACAAATTATCTTTGAAATAATTTCCTTTTTATTTTTATTTTTTAATTCTTAACATTTTTTTATATAGTTTATACAAGCGAAAGCAATGGAAATTAAAAAAAAAAAGAGAGAAAAAAATGTGTACCAAATGAATTTTATATGTGATATATTAAGTAACCATTAAATTAAATAAATGGAAAATGATAGACGGCTTTCATCGCATTATTACACATGAATAATATATTATTTGGCTCAAATAATTTTGTGTTTATTTCTCCATGAGACAACTTCTTTCCTTCACGTTTATACATTTATCTTTGCATTTAAATACATCGTATAAAATTATTTTTCTCTTTATTTATTTTTTTGGCTTAATATATCATTTGGTCCCTCCCTAGTTTGAGGGGTTGTGTTCAAAGTCGTCCTACTTTTTTTCAAAAATTTACTATTGTCTCATATTTTGCTAAAAACGGTTCAAGTTAATCCTTTTGGCTTATGGCGTTAAAAACATAACGGTGCAATTGCCTTCGTGGCCAAATGTGAATGATGTGTACAATTTTTACGATACTTAGCATATATTTTAAGGCGTAAATTTTGAAATAAAATTGAATGTCGTGAAAAAGGTTTAAGTGAGGGTTAAATGAAATAACAATTAGGTTAGAATCCATTCGCGATTTGGAGTTGAAGAATGTGGTGAAACTAGTTTTCAATTTGGGTTCATGGTTCGTTGAAGGTGCAATTTGAAGAATCCCGCCCACCAAAACCACAACGCGTTTCAAAATTCATAATCTCCCTTTCTTCATTCATTTTCCAATTCAACCACAAGAAAAGAGAGAAGGAAACCTACCGCACCCACCTCCATGTTCTTTGTGTGAGGCCACGACAACACCACCTTCACCCACGACTGCACTTCCCTCGCCTTGCCTCGTCTTTGCTGCATCTTTTCCAATGGACGTCGTTGGCCAGGAGATCCACCAACATTACCACTGACCCTTTTTCTCAATTATTATTCAACCTTCTTCCTCCTCTCTGAATGAGTTTTTTCTAGTTATGGGTGTTTGAGGTGAAGAATAAGACAACGATGGGTGAAATGTTGAGAGAGAGAATGGAGTTTCTGATTTGTTGTGAATTGCAAATTGACAATTAGGGTTTCTGATTTTGCACATGATTTTGTGAATTGCGAATCGGGATTCTGATTTTGGAAATTGCAATTGGGGTTTCTGATTTTACATATGATTTTGCATAAACTCTAATTTTTTTATTTTTACCCAATAATTTCAACTTTTAACGTTTCGACATACATTGTCAAGTTAATTCACTTCACATTGCCACACAATCAATAAGTGCACAAGTCATTCACATTTGGCCACGGAGGCAATTACACCATTATGTTTTTAACGCCGTAAGCCAAAAGAACCAACTTGAACCATTATTAACAAAATATGGGACAATAATGAACTTTAGAAAAAGGTAGGATAACTTTGAACACAACGCTCCAAACTAGGAATCAAATGATGTATTAAACCTTATTTTTTTCATCTTCTTTCTAGTTCACAATCTCTTTCTTCTTTTTTCTTTCTTTACTATTATCATTCATCTCGTCTTCTTCCTTCACCTTCATTGACTCACTTTCCTCAACGTCCATCTCTACCTTATAAATTGAATATAATTCAAAATATAAATTTTGTATTTAAAATTATACAATTTAAAATGTATTTTTTATTTTTTATTTTTTATTTTATATTATAGAATGTTCAATTTAAAATACAAATTTGTATTTTAATGTGAAATATAATTTTTGTATTTCAAAATACAAATTTTGCGTTACTGTAAAAATAGTTTAAAACTGTATATTCTTAAAGTTAAAATAAAAAGATAAAATTAAAATTTGTAAATGTACGAGAAGAGGCAAAGAAGAAATTATGAACGGGAGGAAGAAGCTGCGTCTCTTTGTGGTAGAAATAGTATCATCAAATGCAAATAAGAGTTCGAAATTTGAAATACGTATTTTATCAAAGAAGGATGTGAATCAAGTCATAACAAAACCATAATGCAAATTCCAATAGATACACATTATATTATATTATGTACTAGTGCAGCGTATAACTTCAACGTCCAACCATTGAATACCATCATTAAAAAGGATTTGTGACATTATTGTAAATAAATACAATTATTAGACGTCATTTAGAATTGAAATTCGATGTCAATTTGTTATAAATCGTCGAATATTGAGAAGTCCCGTCCTATTTGATAAATTGTGCGAAAATACTTTGCGCAAAGGTAAAAATATATTTACGTATAACGTCGAATGCCTTAGAATTAGATGTCAAAACGATATAAAACGTCGAATGCCTCAGCGTTAAATGTCAAAAGGTTAGTGAATTCAATAAAAATTTGAACGGGAGATTGAAAATTCATTCACTTCATCTTAGCGCGTGAGACCGTCTTCTCTTCTCAAACTTTTGTGGAACGAAGTTTGACGACCATCACATGTAATCTTTTTTTCATTTAATACAAATGCATGTCAATTAACTATTTTATGTATGATTTTCGTTTGTTTTGATCGATTATTTTTGTGTTCTTGTCCTTCATAGGTGCATTCTGTTTTCTCTCTTACTGGTGACAACAATTTATTTCAACAAACCCACATTTTGAAGGTTAGTTTTGGTTTTCGTTTTCAAGAACTTATTTGTTGAACTTGTTTGTTGTTGTTTTTTGTTGAACTTGTTTGTTGTTGAACTTGTTTGTTGTTGTTGTTTGGTTGAACTTATTTGTTGTTGTTGTTTGGTTGAACTTGTTTATTGTTGTTGTTTGATTGAACTTGTTTGTTCTTTGTTATTGTTGTTTGTTGTTGATACTACACTACACGTCATGCTTTTATAAAATACCAAAACCTGAAATTTGTTGTTTTTTTACTTTTCAGTCTCGTAGAGTTGTAAAAAAAGGATCGCAATTAATTAAAAAAAACAAAAAATAATTTATTAATGTCGTATATTAACAAAATTCGACGTTAATTTGTTTTACGTCGAATTTTTTAAATTCGACTTCAATTTAAAGTCTTCTGATACTACGTCGGTCTCGAATTCGACATGAAAGGCCGAAAAACAACGACGTTATACGATGCTTTTGTACTAGTGATGGTTATATTTTGCGAGCTATTTTATTTTACTTTTAGTTTTTTAACCTTATAAATAGTATTTAGTGGTTTCAAAAATGTTAGTATGAAATATATATATATATATATATAT